CATGTTCCAATTACTCAGAAGCAATTCAACTTTATAAAGACGTTCGAGATACCCGCATGTTCATCATATCAAGAACGTATGAAAGAGGAAGAAGCTAAAGACGCAATCATGATGATGGCGGATGCAGTGATTCCTTCGCTTATGGAGCCTGTCTCCTAAGATATCCCTGAGTGGTAAATTCCAGACGCCATAACAACTGCCAACGTACGTTTGTTTGGACAACTGGCATTATGAGATTTTATGTGAGCTTGTACATTCTACTCATCTACTTGTCTACAGAATCGTTTATACTCTTTGGATTCTCTAGTTAATTAAAATCTTTCTAGATATAATTGAAGTTGAAGTACTACACCAGTACTTGTTGGTTAATAAATTGTATTAGCAATAAAATTTTTCTTTCACTTTTTTCTCGTGTCTAGATGACATTTATCTAATTATTAGCACTGAATATATGATGAATATAATTAAGATATCGAGTCAAACGTTTAATTAATCAGATTTTTCGTTAAATTATGACCATTTCATGACCAATGTTTAATCCTACTGTTATCAATTCTCGTTTTCTCATTTTAGACATTAAATATTTTCATTTTTTATACATCAATATTATTCAGATAAGATTATTTTATCTTAATAAGAAGACAGTTTAGAATTGGTTATCTAAAAATAGAAAGTACCTTCTACTTATCAATGGATTTTTATAATTATTCTCAATAAAGAGATAATATTTAATATATTTAGGTGGGAAATTATTAAACTTGACATCTAAGAAACTCATTGACTTCATTCTTAGAAAATTTTTATGATAAAATAAACGACTTTGCGTTTACAGAATTTTTTATACATCAAACAAAATCAATGCAGATTTTTCCCACGGATGTTAAAGGGTATTTTAATTGAGAAGAATTTTTTGAAATTATTTTTAACCTTAAAAGATGAAAGAAATGTGTTTTTATTAAAATGTCATGTTGGAAAAATATTTTTATTATTCTTCAGAACGTTACTTGAAACGAAAATATTTTTTCTCTAATTAAAAACATGAGGATAGGACATAATTAAAGGACTAAATGACAATCCAAAGCTCCTCAAAAATTCTCCAAGACAATATAGACTTCACGAGTTGCACATGGTTGACACATTCTCGAAATTTTAAGGAAAAAGTGGCCACCATATCTTGTTTCCTTCAGAGTCTAGACTCGAGTTTTACTTTGTGTTGTTGCCGACATGAATCACATGAGACATACGCACCGGGTAAGAGCACCGTAAGTTTCTGGGAAATAAGTCCTCGAGGATATCCTTTTGCGTGTATGTTCAGTTGAATATAACCCAAGGTACAATGATGAAGTAGGGCGGGTATAACATAGTAGAACATTAAATGCTTGCACGCGTCCAAGTCTCAGATATTTTAATTCACCCCTTAGGTTGATTTAAAATCACGTTTATCAGAGTGTACCATCACTTAATTATGTCATTAAAGTAATTAGATCAAGCTAAGACTGCTTTGACTATACTACAAGATTAATGATGGATTGGAGTTAATAATAATGTTCGCATAATTTTTTTTCACCTTCAGCAATTATAAATGCAGGAAAGCACAAGGCTTCATAGAAAAGCTATAAAACAACAACGGAGTAGAATTGAAAGCGAATACTAAATACATCGTCTTGTAAAATTTTTTTAAAAAACAATTTCACATTCAAAAGTGTAAATAAAGTTCTATTCCTTCACATCAATGTAGAAAATTCAATTTAATTATTATTCTTTCATTTCAAGAGAATTTAATTGGAAAAAAGTCACCTCGAAATTAGGAGAAGTTTGGATGAACAACAAGAAAAAACATCAAGCATCAAGAGACAGGTTGCTCCAAATGAAGAAAACAATTATAATTCTGATGCAGTATTTAATAAGAAATGTTGAAGTAATTGTTACTCAGAAATTTTTGTCGATTTTTAAATAAAAAAAAAAAAGGAAATACTTGGTTAATAACTCAATAAAAATACTCCATAAACAAAGTGAACAGTTGGTAAGAAATAAAACAATAAATCATTGAATGAAATAATTCACGTTTTTCATCCAGTTCCAACGACAGAGCAATATTTCATGAAGGCTTTCTTACGCATCGATACAAGCCAGGTCATGTCGTATATCGCGACGTATCGTATCATACCAAGAGTATCGCGTGTCCTATCCTATGAAGTTACACACTGCTTGCAAACATATTCTCTTTTACCTGCGTCTTATATACGTTATGAATGCGTGGAATTTATCAATGGACGCAGCGGCCTGATGATAAATCGCACGCCAAGGATCGTATCACCCTGGAGTATGAGGACTTATACACAGCAAGAACGTTTATAAGTCCAACGATTGCGGCTGCCACTGTACATAATGTACGTGCGCGCGAAAGACGTCTGTGAGCTTTCTATTCGCGTGGAAGGTGAGAGACCGATGATATCATGAGGTAGAACTTAAGATTCACCAACAACAGTAGCCCTTCATGATTCCACCGCTCGATATCACGATCCCGGAACACTTAATACCATCTTGGATCTTCTTTTTCATTTACCTACTCTATCGTCATTTCTTTTACAACACCTTTTGCTTATTTTATATTTGGCATACTCTTTTTCATTTCACTTCTTCATTTGTATACTTTTTTTCTTTTCATCCTTAGCTCTAAAGAAAGACCTTTCTTGTTATATTATTCAATGTTCAAGATCGTTGCTTACATCCAACGAATTCATTTATATTTCACTTGAAAAATTGGTCAACACTCTTTGCTATCATATTTCCATTCAGCCAATGTTTTGTTGGTATTTTGTTTTGGTTTTATTTGCTTGTGACATACTGAAATAAATTATCGTTCTAACAAGACAATCGAGTTGAGCCATTCAAGAGAGAGAGAATATGTTAAAACTAAAAAATACACGTTATATGGATGTTTAGATTTCCCGTCGGATGAACGCACGTTCGGTGAACCAGAAGAGGATACCATACATAACCCGCATAGTCAACTCTTCATCGTACAGATTGTATTTAAACTTTAATATCGGTATGTGTATTTGTGCAATAAAGGGATTCGCTAGTACACAACTGCAAGAAAGAATTTCCTCTCTACGATGTATCTCTACGCTTTACGAGCAATCTTACACCCACGGCTATAGAATATTACACTTGCACCAACTCCACTCGAGGACGACTGGAATTTTCGTTAAAAAATTATTCCTCCTTTTATTACCATTTAAAAGACAAAGAGTCATTTATTTTATTTGTTACTTTATAAAAAAAAATCCTTATCGATTATTGTTCTGCTCAATTTTAGCTCTCTTCTGATATAAATCTAACAACTTGTATTATTATTCATTCCAACTTCAATCTGCTTTTTTACATCTTCATGATATCGTTTGAAAAATAAATACAATTAATTTCCATTGAATTATCTATTTTTCTACAGCTATTAACTTTCTCTTTGCAAGTATTTGAATTAAGAGTAACAATCCGTGGATGCTTTTTAAGGAGTTTTCATGCTCAGTATAGCATCTAAAGACCAATTTAAACTGATAGAAATCTTTTTGCTCTTCGTTAGAAAATCATGAATTGAAAAGTAGAAGAAAAAGAAATTAATTCATGGCTATAATTAACGAATTTTTCCTCAACATTTTTACATTTCAAGACGAGAATCAAGCACCTTCTGAGTATTTTTGAATTGACCTCACTCACAAAAATACTTGCGTCTTGCGCGTGAACCATTTAGCTGGCAAAAATATCTCAGTCGATGTGAATAAATAAAAGAGAAATAAGAAGGAAGAAACGTGAAAGACAAAGAAACGTAAGGGTAATGTGTGTTCTATGGGCTCAATAGAATGTTATGTGTATATCAATATAGCATCGAGATTCGTAGAAACTCAACTAACGATTTTATACTCAACGACGTTCTCTTTCATTAATATAATCTGTAGTTTCTCTTTCAGTAACCATACCATTTACTGTTGGATTAGTTGTTTTCTGTTGAGACCACGAATTTTCCTGATACTGAAGCATATAAATTTTCCCCTTGGTAGCTACTGACGAGCATATACATACACCAACGGTTTGCAATAACTTAAGGTGATTTTACGACGTTTCAAAACCCTCTCTTATTCCCTCCGAAACTGTCCCCACGAATTAACACAAGACGTCGTGCGTCTTCTGAAACTCCGACGGCTATAACGACGAGTTCGCGCATCGTTTTAGGATTTAAGATCTGTGAACGCGTTTATATTCACCCGAGGATATTTCCAACAAGTTCTCTAACATTATTTTATTTAGAGAATAAAAAATAGTTCGAATAAATTTCTCCTCACTTCTCAAATCTTTCAACATACGAAAAGCAACAAGGCATTACCGAATTATATCTACTCTTTCTTTTCCTTAAAACATTTCCGCATTAAAAAGTTGAAAAAAATTAACACGTCATTCCTCTTGGAATACTTTCGCGTTTAGGAAATCAAGAGAGGTCTTTTTTTGTTTCGAGATTTAAATGTCCAAATTTACTGGTTGAAAAATTATATTAAAATACTTTTTTCTTTTCTAGAGATACTCTTGAAAGTCAATTAACTCTGAATATTTTTATCGAGTTTTTCATAATTAATATAACAAAAATTTGATTGCTCATTTATTTCCCGAGATTTTTTATCATTGAAAATTTAAATTGTGATTTTAATTTTGACTCAAGATGAAATTTACTCATCTGTAACTAACTTAAATAAAAAAAAACAATTTATCAAAGCTATCAACACATTCATGCTCTCTATAGTTCAATAATTGATGATGACAACTGTAAATTTGGACAATTAAAATTAAATATGTATGATCGTGCTCCATTATGCTAGAAAATGCATGAATGAATATCATAACCTTTGAATTGTTTTTATCATCATCGGAAAGTCGAAGAGAAGTGTCTCAACCGATGTGAGTGCATATCATAGCTAAGAAGTGTAAAAACATGAACATGAACTTACGGATGAGGTGGAGGTGCATGAAAAGCTGCTGCAGCAGCGGCAGCAGCAGCCGCGTGATGTTCCCATGCAGCAGCAACGGCTGGATGGGGCGGCGGAGGCGGTCCATGATGTGTATGAAACGGCGGTGGAGGCGGCCCATGATGCGGATGAGGGTGAAAGGCCGCATGAAATGCAGAGTGGGGGTGGTGTGGCGGCGGTGCAGGCGGCAAAAGGGAGAAAGCCTCCTGGTGGTAAGCCACCTCCTTCTCCGGCATGTTGGATCGACTCGCGATCCTTTACCGCTGAAGAAAACCCTCGTCTTCTGATCCTTAATAATCAAGAATTATCTTGCTTTATTATTACTCCAGACTTAGTAATCCACATAATAATGCGTGCAAAATGTCTTAACTTTAACCTCTAAAACACTTGATTATTCTTTCAACCACTTGATCGTCTACATAATCTTTGTAATCTCTAAGTTATTCTTTGTATAATTAACAAATCACTTTTAAACACGTCCATTCCGGTAATTAATCCAAGCATCCACCTTACACACACATAAAGCACTAGATAATTTAACCAAAAAATGTCTTTTGGCGCCGAAACCACTCAATCACTTAATTTATTAGGTAGGAAATGATTCTACCGATGGTGTTTGGTGTTTGACCGCAAAATTTATAGTTGAGGTCTTTTAGTAAGTTTGATTATTTATTGATGTTGACACACGACACAAGTAACGGAAAAGCACAACGCGAAACATAAAAATGAACCGACTGTCACGGTGTTTATCCTCTCGCGGGTATGGCGGTACTGAGACTACACCACGACAAGAGGGGTGCAAGGCGTGCGTTGTTGGTTGCAGTGGGCGTACGACGGAGACACTGACGGGAGAACGGGAAAACTCAAAATAAGAGCGAGAGAGCTGTTGCGCTACGAGCTAAGCACTAAACTGTACGAGATGAAAGTGAGCAAGTGAAGAGAAGGGGAATGTAAAGTAATGGTGGTGGAATCATAAGGAGAGGGGCAATTGCCACGAGAACGCGTGTCAGCTCGACAACTCAACTAGCACCCACTGATTCCTCACTTCCCTCAAGCTTTCTATTGCTTACTTTGTCCGTTTTCATTTTTGTCTCTTTTCTAAATTTATTTCTCCACGCTTTGACCTTCTAATGATCACGTTATTATATTCGATTCCTCAAATATTTGGTGATTTAAAGCTTAGTTATGGAGAATTGTGAGAAATAACGTGTAAAATTATAAATAATGATTTAGATTATTTTTCTTTTTTACCGTAGAATCAACGTTTGGAGATTTAAAATAGCTCTTTTATATCGAAAAAAATTGTAATTTATTGCAAAGCCACGAATATGGTGTTAGATAATTTTTTGTATGGTATTTAAATGATGATTATTATTTGAAGATGATTCAATAAAAAGAATTATCTTCTAACAATTCATTGGAAGTCTTCAATGATCAATATACATATCAGATTTTTTTTTAAATTATAATCATCTTGAAAAGAACAATTAATTGAACTGTTTTGTTGGTTGAATTTAATAAGAACTTTAAGAGATAAATTACTTGATATCCAGGAAGAAATAAAAATATCAAATTTAAATGGCACACAGGCATCAATTCCAGGTGTTGGAAAAATATACATACAAAATTGTTTGGAGAGTAAATAATCGTTTAAATGTGTTGATTCTTCTTTGGAGTATATTCATACATAACAAAATTATTTATTCATTATCAAGGCATTTAAAAATAAATTCTTTTCTAAATTAATCATTAAATAATTTTTCGGAGTAATGAAGTACTCCATGTCAAAAGTAGTAAAAAAGATTTTTTTTCTATTTAATTAAGACGTAAAAAAGAGCATTAATGAAAACATTTCAAAGTTTTTATTGTTCATTAACGAATCACATTCATTAAAATCTTTTTCAACACCTTTAATATTTGTTTTTTATGTCCAATAATTCAAACATGTTCATGATAAGCATACCACCTCCTTCATTTAATTGGACTCTTGTAGAGAATTGTGATTCGAGATGGAATTTATTGATAAAGATTGTGGTAAGACCGGAAATAAGAGTAGGAGTGAGTGGTAGTGAACATTCCTGAAGTAGAATAATAGAAAAAGGCAAAGAAAAATAGAAGGAGGAACACTTTTAGTTCATGCTATTGCTATTACTTTCAGCCACTTCCGGTGGTCACATGCAACCCAGATTTCTACAAATTCTCGTTTTTCTTTTCTTCAGGGCTTTCAAGACCTGCAAGAAAGTAAAGGAAATGAAATCTTTTCGACTCCTCCTGTTTTTCGCAGTTCCACGGTCCTCAAGTATCATACATAGAAACACGTGTGACTACATAATCACCACTTGCTGAACAGTTGCAGGCATCTAGAGATCCAACATGACATTTAGTTGAAGAACGGAAGCTACATCAACTTTTGAAATAAATCTTTTGGAAAACAATGCATATCGAATTACTCTGTCAGTATATTTTCATTCTTGGGAAAAATCAATTTAAAATGGTTCTTTTCTATAAGGTCTCCATATTTACAGTTAAACATGTGCTTAAAAGTCTATAACAAACTGGTTTACAACTTTAGTTGTAAAACCATTAATTTAGTTTTATACTTTTTTGGCAACCTACTGCGTCTCTAGATGTATTTATTATATACAAATGTAGAATAAAAAGAGATATTTTTCTCTCTGGAATATTTAAATATATCAAGATTGTCGAAATGAAGATTCAACATCCACAACTCTATTAATTTTTTAAAAATTTATTTCTACATTCCCATTTTTCGATTATCTGAATTAATAATTGATCACGAAACATAATATTTCATACAGAAGATATTGCATATTATATATTCGTATACCTGAACATATGATAAATTAAAAACTTCATTAAACTTTGCAGAATTAATTATTGCAATCTAGTTTTTAAATAATTCTTGGAAAAAAATCATCAAATAAATATTTTCATTCCTGACTAATTCATGAGTAACAAGTTGTTTGACTGTTTAACAACATTATTTGTCATAATAAGAAAATATTTTTAATCACAAGATGTTTTATATATTTTCCTTCAATAAAAAGAAAAACCATGAAAAAGCATGTTTGTGGTAAAATGATCTCCTAGTGATTGATGATAATTTACAATGTAATAAAAGAGAATAATTGTAAAATCACTCGTTAAAAGATTTAGGATTGGTAGCTTAATAATATTTTCATGTTCAAAAAAGCCTACCAATAGACGTCTTACATAGATTGAATAGGATTAGAAGAATAGATACGGTTTTTTTGATGGAATCCGTATCTAAAGTGCGGTCTTCCATTGTCAAAGTAATATTTCTCACCATTATACGAGCACAAAATTGAGTTGTATCGCCCACACTTTTACTTGGAAATGTCTCACACGCGCCCTGGTTGTTCATAATCGTCTGGTTGGACTGGTGGACCCAATAATCAGCAAGCGAATGAGAGGGAAGAGGTGCATAGAGTCATTAACTAGCCGTCGGCTCGTTGCGGTGCTTGAGAACCAGCCGAGTGCCACACCCTCTCTCTTGCTCGTTCATCTTTGGACATCTCTTTGTCGCTTCTTGCTCACATCTTCTCACTTTGCCGCCAAACACCCAGGGTCCAGCTCATTATTTTGTTGATTTTGCAGGCTGTACCTCAGTCATCTTCTCTTCTCTAGTGTCCTCTTCACATCTTCAGACCCGTCTGAAGGCGAGCCTAATTGCTGTTGAACGAGTGGTTTCGACAAAATCGCAACAGTATCCGTCGCAAAATGAGAAAAGAAGACCAATCGGGATGCGCGAAACGACAGTTCGCCAGATTCGTGGGACTTTCGAGCCCATTTAGCACACACCGGATGTTTCTTCTAAATGGACCGCGCCCTAATTGGACCGCATCGCGAGACCTTTCGCTCAACGACAATGACCATAGCTTCTTCTTCTTCTTCTCTTTCGGCTTCTATACTCATTTATCCGTGTCCTGAACTGGTTCTTGGTTGTCTTGAAATACGAAAGATAGAAAAGAAGGACAGACAGAGAAGTCTTGCTAACTGTTATAAAATGATTTTACGTGCAAACAGCAGCACACTGGAAAATGGCGATAGGAAAAAGCTCACGGATCCCGTGAAGAAACGACCAATCAGTCTGGCATTACATTGAATGCATCCCAGCAAAAAGTGGTTAGCTGGTCCATGGTAGTCCTCTCGTGTAATCCGGTGTCAACGAAAAAACGCCGCGTATGGACACAACTACATTGGTAGTCTCTTGAGCAACTCGGCAACATCGCGCTCGTTACGTTCAATCTGAGCTTGTATGTGTAAAGCATGGGACCTTCGAGAGAGAGACGAGAATCACTTGGCATCCTCCACCCGATAAAGGCGAGTGCCGAAGCGACCGTTTCGAATCGCCGACATCAATATTGTCGTATACGATGTCTCACTCAAGTCGTTTCGCAAGGTTCCCAGTATATAACGGAGAGGATAGAAGTGGTTTTGAGCATCAAAAGCTAATTAACTCGCCTACGCTTAATCCCAAGTATTACATTATACTAACAGCTCCTCCAAAATCAAGATATCTGTTGACCATTTTCACCTTATCTCTAAAGAATCATATTGATGTACTTGTTAAATAGTCGAATCCCGAAATCTTTACTTTTGCAGCATCCACAATGATCCTTAGCTGCTCCCTTTGATCGTTGAGTGGGGAGAAATGGCTGAACCAATGACGTCCTACAGTAGACCCTTGCTCCAAGTACCTGTTGGTCACATGGACCCCACTCTGATCCTCTTGTTCATCCTCTCCTTACCCCCTTCACTCCTTTATCGTTCACTCTTTCTCTCTCTTTCTTGTATTCGTTCACTCTCTAGTCCTCTTTGATCTTTCGATTTGGCCAAAAAATTTATTTATCAGCTCCTTAATGTCAAATAGAGCCTGAAAAAAAGGAATTTTTTTACTAAATATTTCATTAACCTTTCATAAAAGATTTTTTAGCGTAATTATGAGGTAAAATATATAACTCACTAAGATTGTAAAATATTTTATGTCTAGACTTTGGCGTGGATGCATTCCCAAAAAACTGCCGGAGAAACCTGAGGCGTGGTTTATTCCCAGAAAGTCAGTGGTTGTGCAAAGTTGGAAGACGAAAAGGCCTGGAGGGTGGCACGAAGTTGAAGCAGGGAGAGAGTAAAGGGAGAAAAAACACGTCAGACCCGCGCGATTTCTCAGCCCCCCTGTGGTCCGAGCTCATTAACCGCCTGCATCTCTCTTATATTCTGGGTTTACTCGCCGCCGCCGTTGGCGTGACGTGCGTGCGCGCCGTCATCGTTCGTTCATCGGTCCAGAGCCGCTCTCATCAGGTAGGAAAGGAGCCGCCTGTAACAACACGCAGGGTGCTAGGCATCGTATTGACTTGGATACTATAACTCTATATATGTATAAGAGAATCCGAAAAAAATACATTTCTATACTAGGCTATTTTGCTCATTCGTTTGCTACACAGCTATTTCTATGGGCTTACGAGATAATTTGTACCTCGTTTCCTGGGATTTTCAAGAATGAGACAACCAGCGAGCCGACAAGCAGAGATAGCTGAAGATATATGTTAAGTTGTTGATTATTACCGGTTAGTTTAGCCGTGGGAAAACCAAACGCGGAATATACATATAAAGACTCAAGAGATGTTGGAGAAAAAGAGTTTCTTGTCTTATTTAAATTGGAAGAAGAAGATTCTTTTAGTCGTCGTGCAGAGAGTCTCGTTAATCGTCTTCGTCGACACGCCTTCCCACTCATCAACAAGTAACGATGGTCTTAATAGAGACGCCTGCAAACCATTTGAGAGACACACTTCAACACCTCTCTCTCACGTGTCTGATGTCCATCTGCAAGACTATATACACTTGGCTTCTTAAATAAATGCCGCACGTCGAAAAGTAAACAAGTAAAGCCTTCAAATTGATCCCATCCACAGAAAAGTATCGGTTGGTTAACGATATCGTTAACGGGGAATCGTGTGTACAGCTGAGGAACACGAGAGAGTCGCGAATAAAAAGATTGCAGCATCAACATAGTAGGGGAGTGGATGAAGGGAGCGAAAAGGTAGAGAAAGGGTTTTGGAGAAGGGATGGAGGTGGCGCGAGGCAGACAGGTTGGTCCGTTCGCCACCCGTAGGTGCCCCAAGGTGGCCGGGACTCGCGCGCCAACGATCGAAAAGCGAGAAGACATGAAGCACCAGCAAGTGTGCATGAGTGTGATCGAGAGATGTTAAAGGAACATGGTGGCCTCGCCCCCACGCGAAGACCTCCGAAGCAGCAGGAGAGGTGAACGAGAGCTCGAAAGACACCGAAGAAGCAACTTCGGTCCATCTCGGTGGATCCTATACACCCTCCTTTGTCTCAGACGTTGGTATTCACGTGCCTTCAAAGCTAGTCGTACTTTGCTCCCGCTTCTACACCGCTCACAGAGTCAGCGCGCACACTCGTAACTAATGACTCAATTAATCCTGCTTTTCGCTTGAGTCCAGGCGCCTCAGTACCGTTTGTTTCACATTGGCAAAACTCGTTTTCCACTTGGTGAACGAAAGTAACATTAACATAAATGAGGGAAATATCATCTTATCGTTAAATTAACTTAAACTCCGTGTGATGCTTTCTTACATTCTCTAGACCACTACATGCTTTTTAATCCACTCGGAATATTTTTACATTCCTCAAGAATTTATAGACCTTTAACGCCTACGCGCAAATATAAATTAAAGCTATCGAATCTTAATTATCCTTGCCTATATTTTACGTGAGGAATTATTTATATGTTTAACGGACCCCCAGGTATTCTCAGCGAGAAGTTTAACAGCGGTAGCATTAATTCTACTACGAGTCTCACTCTCTTCTCTTGATGCTTTTTGGCCGCCGCGAGTTAGCGTCCTCTAATCATGGTCAAGAATACCGACGTGAAAGGGGATATAGAGACGTTGTAGGGCCTGATTGCCGCTTTCGTGTGTATCTACACAACCATACACAAGCAAGACAAGACGAGAGGGGAACTATGACAGCCTCAACTAACACAAATCCTTCAGACCCAGCTCGTCTATATATCGTATTATTAAAGCCGGCGGAAACAGTGCGGGCGTCCCTCCACCAAATGCACAAGCCGGCATGAGCGAAAAACTCCACGCGCCGTAATTGGATATAACCAAACGCGAGTTTCTGGACCTCAACATGCTGTAAAGCAAAATTCTTCAGGGTCCCCGTCGCCATCACTCTTTTTCTCTTCTTGGTATCCTACTCCTGCCACGTAACTTTCTGCAACTCTCGCGCAGTTGTAAACACTCCCAATGGAACAAATTCGCTTATGACCATTAACTTTACAAGTCAGCCGTGGCAATTCTCCCAAAAGGAATGAAATTATTCACAAAAGAAGTTGTTGGCGTACCTACAAATTATAAAAGAAAAATTATAGTCACTCTTTTAACACTAAATCCTAATAAATATATCTACCAAAAATTATAAGCTTCAAAACGCGATAGTTCATGGAGATTATCGATCATTTGTCAGATCCTGTAAATTAGTTACGCGTTATTTCCTTTTTTCACCTTTGAAAATTCTTCAGTGCTTTTTTCACCAAAAGTTAGACATCAATTTTCTTCATTTCGGATAACAATGAGTCGAAAAATTAGGGATATACCTCTTTTACCTGAGAAAAATACCAGATGATCAGCGTGAAAATCGCTCGTGGCACTCAATCATTACTTTTTATTATATTTTACCCCTTATTATTTAGGTGTTAGATTATGAGCGAAAGACATTATTATTGTACTTAAATAAAGAAATTCAAATAAAAATATATTACAACACTAAGTTCCAAGTAATTTTAACTAATAAGCATCACCTAATTGCTTTGAACTAATGATTTGTTTCTTTTCAAGGTACTTAAGGTATCCAAAAGTATGGAAATTTTTAGTCGGTTGTTGACCAAATGTTTAACATAAAAAACTCGAAGAAAACCCATAAGGGTGTTAAGCTCTAAATTAGAGTACCACATTATCTCCAAGGTTAGAAAGTATTTCTTGGAAAAAGTCGTCATGTTACTTTTATCAATCTCTACAAAAAAGTCAATTGGTTTTTTCTTGAAAAATCTCTCATTCAAATCTAAAATTTAAATAGAAATGTATGGAAAAGGAATCTTCGGAAATCGTGATAACCAGACTCTTTATCATCGTCTGTGTTCTTTTCTTTAGAGGTCGATAGAAAGAAAAAATACTCTGAAAAAGTAGAAGGAAAAGAAAACAACGGGGGTGTAGAGTCAAAAAAGATTGCTGGATCCCTCGTGGTCTCCATAGTCACGATGAATTACAAGACTACCTGCCGAAGAGTAGAAGAGTCCTCCGACGTCGACTTTCGACTTTGTAACTATACCTTGTATATGCCCAAGACGCAGAGAAATAGCCAGTCGAGGGTACAAGCTTACCTTATCTCTACTAGTGATCAGCACGATCCCTCTCTGTGGTCTCTACTTGGTTGAATTTTACCCGCACTCTCTTCTTGTCTCGTGTGTGATGCTGCTGTTGCTGCTGGACAGTCTCTCTTGGCTACCCTTCGAGGTGTCGGGAGCTGTACGTTGGACCCCATCCGCTTGGAACGAGATCTTTCAGATAAACTCAAGATATCGTACGAGACGTGCGGCGGAGCGAATTAGCGAGGACGCAAATTCGCACTCGAATTCACGCCCCATGAGAAATTCCAAACTCTAAGGATATTGCCCTTGAGCTACCAACTCTAGCCTGAAAATAGTTTGATTCTTTAGATACTTGATATTTTGTAGAACCAGGACATATTCTAGTTCTAAAACACCTTCAACTAATTTGATGTGAAATTTTATATTCACTTTAAAATAACCTACTTTTGCTCATTAAATTGAAAGACATATCCAAATAATTATTTTCAAAAACAATAACCCGAATAAGAACTCATGAACTAAATAGCAGATGAATAATTATATTTGTTGTTGATTTGACAACGTAATGAATAACTCACCAAGAATTCCAAACGTGATAGAACTGATAAATACTAGTCTATCAATCTACTATCTTCACGGGCAAATGGAGATTGGAGCCAATTATAATCTGAAAAAATTAGTACATAAATTAAATAACTCGTACATATTTTATTCTTGAAAATAAGTGTCTAAAATAAAGCTTAAATACATGAATGTTTTGCGTTGGAGAACGATCTGTATATTTATATTATGAGTGGGTATGCTCTTTTACTTGCTCCGGGTAAAACATTTCGTAAGATAAGAGGTTTCTTTCGTGTACTTTCATGTTTCTTGTGATACAAGAAAATATGAGTTATAACTTGGTTAAAATGCAGAGAAATAAGTGACTACAACTTCAATATTTTTGATAATTCAGGCAGAAAAAATGCTCAAACATAGTTAAAATAAGAAAATATGAATGACAGATAACTCTTAAGAAAATATATTAATAATAACTTTTAAATAATATTAAAATAATGTCATTCATCAATCTCATTATTTATTTCTTTAAAAATTTTTTTTACTATAAAAAAGCATCTCAAATCATAACTTATAGCGAATAAAAAATTAAATTTATACTCAAATCAAATAGAAATATTTATACATACCCACTTTCATTCATGATGTAAATATTTTTTGTAATGACCACGGATGTTTTCAATAGCATACCTAGAGTGTAATGATAAAAAAAATGTAAGTAAAAAATTAAAATCTCTAAAATTAAAAGCTTCTTCAAAAATACATGCTCATTTCCTTGCAAGCAAATAACAGAGAATTAATAGGAATAATAATGAAGAATGTTACATTTCAAACTGCGTATAATAAAGGCTGGAATGTTGAAGGAAATCTTTCTCTTCACATGTTCAAAGTCTGTTTTTGTCGAGCAATGTCTTGAGATCTGTTGCTCACGGGAATAACGAAACGTTTACGATGCTCGCCGAGTTGCTGGTGGAATGAGAGCTGTTAGTTTCTTTCTCCCATGGAAGATCACATTGTTTTTCCCTTCGTGCACGCCTTGACGATATCTTTTCTCTCGCAAAATGCTCAGAAAGGTATCTAGCTTGCGAGCAGCAAGTCATCCAACAGCTTTTGTTCCATGTTTACTCAGCGCCCTGACGCTTCGTTTCGAGTAGAAAAACCAAAATTGATTAATCCTCGCTTGCATCTTTGCCGTCTGTTCTCAAGATCCAATGCAACTTTGCAATTTGCTACAGAGTTCAAATCTTTAATGGAGTAATTGAGAATCACTTTTGCCTGATACTTTCATAATGCCTTCCAAAGACCTGTAACAAATCAATGCACAAAAGGTATAAGAAAATCATTATTTTAATCTCTTAATTAACCTGAGGCAATTCTCTTGAAATTTAATTACTGATTCCACTTAGAAAAACATTGATCGATTGATAAAAAATAATAAATTAGCCTCGGAGATAAAAATACATGATGCATAAAAAGCACTTTCAAAGGAGATTTTGAATACAGTTAATATTGAATCTTTTTATTTTGAATAAAAAATGTCCAAAAATGATGAAAAAATATTTTTAACTACTTTGAATAAGAATATAATATAAGAAAATGAAGCAATTTATCATCATAAAGCAATGTGCATCTTCATTTATATTCAAATTTTATTTAAAAAATTAGCATCTTTTACTCTTAAAAATATTAAAACTTCATCAGCTTGGTAAATATTAATGCTAAAATTTAAATCTATAAAAATTTTCAAGAATTACCTTTTAATATCTTTCATTGTTGATGAATAATGAGCATCAACTGGGAGAAAAAGATATATGATCAGTTGATTTTGACTGACAATCATCTCACTTGATGTGGATGTCGACAAAGGGATCCAAGTGGCGCTAATTACATTGGCAGACCATAAGGTCTTGGTAACTCCAGCCAGTGTATCGAATCGTCTTGGACCCAGAGTTCTTGGCCACGGTCATGAGACGAAAGAGATTACCGTCGCGTTGCAACGAAAATTGTTGAGGCCTTGACGTACACACGCCAAGCGATACCATGAAAATTGATCCGTGTGTCTAACACAGGTTGTACACGGAGGCAACTTCGATTTCTCGCTTTATTCCAAACGACACCGGCCACCGACAATACCCGCAATCATTGCGTGTCGCATTTTATTACCATAGGTAAATAAACATAAACATCAGATCTAAACCGATAGTCACGCTTTTACGCACTTTATATCTTTTTCATTAATGATCGACCTCTTTCTCACTCACTTTTGAAAAAGATATCTCTCGATAATATTTTCAAGAGGAAGACAAATAGGCGTGGACCATAATTTCTTGTTATTTCCACTCGCACGATCACCGAAAATATTCTACAGATCCTCTTCCTACAAATACCAGTTTTCAGTTCCAATCATCTTCATCTATCACTTTAGAAATGTTTTTTTTACTCACTCGAAAATTCGTTGCCACTTGCCCACCAATATTATATGCTACCTGACGTCGTACAAGTTCAATCTCGAAATTAATGATCTGTAGGCCAATCAACTCGATGAAATAAATTGTAAAACACTTGAATGTTACAAATAAAGTATCAAAGATATTAATCTATTCAGTTTATGTTCATCAACACAGTCGCTATAATATTTTAATGAGAATTTTTCGGAATCTTGGCCCCATTGGTGACATTAATTTGTCGTTCTAATCTTTTAGTTGTTGGTATTGTAAAATTTACATTTTTTATGAAATGAACCGCAACTATTCAAATAAAATTGATCAAAAGATTGAATTCAACTAAATGATTTATTAATTCATTTTATTTATCAAAACAAAATTGTAAAAATATTGATTCAACGATCTGACGCTATTTGATCGCCATTTTGTCTATTTAATGCGCCAAAAAATTATTCTAATAATGGTGGCGCCCACTCATATTTTTTTCAAGATGTCAGCACCGTGATATTCGCATAACCGTCTGTTAAAAAAATAGTTTCAAAGATTAGATTATAACAAAGTTTATTCAGTAAATATTATTTTATGGCTTTCAATTATTGTCAAAGTATTGATCAATTGTTTGCTTTTAACGGTGTATAAAAAGAAAATAATGATGAAATAAATCAAAGTTAAGTCAACAACATTGTGAAAATAGTTGTAAAATTTTTATAGGTACAGTAATAACAGTAAATAAGATATTATCAAAATTTGCTGACCTCACTATAAATGTTTCTAATTTTATTTTTTCTATAAATATACCGCTAGACCAACCTGTCTTTTCTCTCGTGTTTTCAGCTTATTGGTATTGTCGTATTCATCCTCTTCAAAAGACGGCAGGAAGTAAACATAAAAAAAAGAAGAACATTGTAACTGAAAAGCTGATGTTATAGGTGATCTATCTTGTTCGTGGTGGTCCTATTGTTACATTCATCAATGAGAAAACCAAGTTCAAGGTTGAAGAATTTCACCAGTAAATCAGAGTGCAAAACTATAATAGAACAGACCAAGTGTTTTCTCCTGCTTCTGGTCATTTTGCTCATAGATTCTCCAAGTCTTTGTTCAATAACAATCTAAAGCTGATCTGAAGAAGCGACAAGCAGGTAAATTGTCACTTGGATCGTCTTAATATGATTCTTGTTCACTAAAACGGCTTTGGCTGTTATTTATTTTTAAATCCTTTTTTTTAGTCAACATTTTTTCAACCTTCAACACATGATTATCTGCATCGTATCAAGGAGTTTGAGAATCGGAATCTACAAAAAAGATACTGATTTTAATAAATACATATATCACAAGGGATTTACTAAGAATTGATGTGAGAAATTCCAGCGTTAAACCGCCAGTTTAAAATCTTTTCAAATTTTTTTTATTGCCAAAAGTTTCTTCCCGAATGCTGGATAATCTTAGCGGCTTGGTGAGAGAAAGATCCTTGTCGGGTTCTACGAAAATTGCGTAGTTGACTGCAACCACCCGCTAGGAATCCCTGACTTTCAAGGAGCTTGACTTTTGCTATGCGACTAATGAAGACATCGTCAGAGGTTCACCGAAAAATACAGCCAAGTCCAAGTAAGAACACAGCCCACGAAGAAGAAGAAGGTACTCAGATAAAATGAATGATGATAGAGGGAGAAGGAAGATGAGAATTGTAGTCTAAAGAGGAAAAAGACCCTGTTCTGAAATCACTCAATAACAATACCCAAAGTCGTCTATTGTTGAAGGTCCAGTGCCACGACTGAATGTCTTATAATGGCAAAGAACTTTTGTATGATTTCTAAAAGGAGAAGAAGAGAGCTTGTAATCTATGGGGCTAGTACACCACTCCGACATCTTCTCTTTACTATGCTTTTTTCCTCAATTCTTAATTCATTCGCTGCAATTCGTTGAGGGTTTCACTCGCTCCTACATCAAGACCTGCGCGGAACTAAATGCGTGAAAAGGATTTCACAGAAAATCTGAGCACGAAGACTGTTGGCATTTATGGTTTCTAACCATTTAGCGTACATGTGTACACTCTGACCGCCGTTCTGCTTTTACTCGGATCAATTGGGTTGTCTAATCAATCAAAATGGAAATTTTTTCTAATTGATTCTGTTTGTATAAACAAAATGTAAATAATATACTTTGATTCTATTTTTTTTTTGTATTAATTTATGACATAGTATATTTCACTTGTTGTAATGTTTCAGATAAAATGAAAAAAAAAAATAAGAGGAATATCATGAAGACATTGATCAAGTGGATTGAGGCCAACAGAGATCAAGCGAGGTGGCAACTGCCAACTGGTAACTGGTACCCAGTGATTTGTAACTGGTAGCCATCGCTTCTCATCGGGATTTATAATCCTACAAAGCACGCCGACCTTAGGAAACTTCTGGACAATTTATCCCGTGGCATGTGATACATAAAGAGCCCTTATTCACGCTTGCATGCGTCCTCATGGCTCGGCCGTTTCCAAAGACAAGGCTTTGTCAGTTGGTCCATCGTCCGGAAGACTTTATAGATCTATGAGTATACACAAGATGCTTCTTTAAAAATTGAGGGCGACATGGTGCGCAAAAAAGCGATGAAAATCATGACATACGTGAGAGCGATGTGTGGTTTGGGATCAGACTTATTGCGCCAAACTCATATGGATCAGAGAGAAAAAGAAACTTTTAGACTGCGATCGCGCGTGGCAATCCTTCCGAGGATTAGCGGCTAGTTCTGTGAATGAGAACAGGCTCTGAACATGGGACGAAGGAAGCCCACGGGTGTCCTAAAGCCACGGGGGTTCTTCATACAAGAAATTCGAGATGAAGGTCCAAAGATTTTTCTCTCCTCATATGCCTGTTCTTCATCGTCATTTAACGTGTGTCAAGGAATAAAAATTAGCATCAACACACGGGATATTTTTTAATCTCGACATTGCTGATTGTCCATAAGTAAGTTCTCATTTATATTAATCTACTTCAGACTCCAAGTCCTGAGCTATATACTTTTAGGAGCACTAACAAAATTATCGATGAACGCGTCCTTGAAATCCTTTCTGTCTACAGTTCAATCGACAAGCATTCTTTCTTTCATTCTTCTTCTCTCTTTCATCTCGCGTCTCAATCTAGAGCCCTCATCATGTTTTAATTTCACGGTCGACTCTCCTCTCTTCGTACACTCTGGACCATTTCCCCTTACTTCAGTTCCCCACTTACTATTCTTGCGGTTCTGATGGGTTGGGCCTTATGAGAAAAGTGGGAGGATATTCAGACATAGAAGAATACATGAGTCAGGATGAAAGATGGAAGCACGTACAAAGCAGACATTCATGAATAACAAAACAAAAATTCAAACTTTTCAACAAGTTAAACTTTGGAAATTATTAGACTTTCAGTTGCATCTACAAATTAGAAAAACCAAAAATCTTACCACGTGATAATACTTTCTTCCATTATAAACTATAGAATATTTAATCTAATAATTTTAATATTAAATTTATTAAATTTTTCAACAAAATTATTTTTTAAATTTTGGTACAATTTTTTACATTCAGTTATTCTTAAATCGATGTAATATTTATACAAATTATTTTTTTTTACATTGAAAAATAATTTTAATTAATTAAATAATTTTGAAACTATTTTCTGTAATTTTGAGTAGTCGATTTAAATCTAGAAATTAATATTGCCGACACATAGTATACTTACTATCGTTAAGTTATCGACACATGATAGTAACTTACCGATAAATTATCATAGTTTTCAACGACGCCATCTTTGCTAGTAAAATGTAAATTTCCTAGAAAAATGATTCAGAAAGGACAACAGCATTCATTTTCGTAAAAAACATGGAATCTAATAGAACAAGATCTATTATTTAATACAATTCTTTCTCTTGTAAAGTCAATGCTCAATAAGTTTTTTATAATACCAAAGATAAGACTTGTTTTTTTTCCGTTATTGAAGTACCAGTTGTCCTATATCCAGAGAATACAGACTGATATTTTATCTAACTTTTTTATTTACAAAACATTTTACCACTCAACAGAAAGTATATCACATAATTCTTGATTGTGTGGGATTTATTTTAGAGGCCACGGTAAATACGCAATAAGTACAAGTAGTGCGAACAAGTAATTGTAATAATTAGAGAGGTTAAATGCACTAAGAAAATGTGCAGTGTGTATGCAGTTGGCAAAAGTGCGCCGTGAAACGAACGTTTTGTATGGTGGTGGAATGATGCATCAGCCATTCACAGCCTTGGAAATTGCGGGTTTCCGAAATCAGCTGATTTCAATCAATGGGGATACAGTGTTTAGTTCGCACGAGCGTCGTACAGGACAAAAACATTAAACAGCTGGAACACCGTTACGCTATTTGAGTCGTCAGTAGTCGTGATATGTTTCATTTCATCATTGTCTTAAAAAGAAAGACACGTGTCGGAGCTATGAAATTTGTGCGATCAAATAGTTTCATATTTATTGTGCGTGCATAACGAAGGAAAATACAAAAACGCATGACGATCAAGAATCGTGAAATTCAAAGTCAAAACGTCCTCCCATGTTCGAAGAGAGATAATATTTTTTTATTGCAGACGAGAAAAAGCCAAGACTAAAGAATGTCTTGGCTACGTATTCTGTCGTCTGAAAGTATAAAAAAGAGAGCTTGCATATATTTGCTGCAACGTTATCTTGGACAATATTTGGAAGAAAAACTTACACTCGATCAACTTACTGTTGACCTTTACAATGGAACTGGTCGTGTCACAAATGTTAGCCTTGACGTCCAGGTAAAAAATTTTCCTTTGTTTACCACATGCCTATATGCAATATTGCTTTTATCTCGATAAAAAATACATACTGAATCCATGCACATAATTTTGCCTCGCAAACAATCGAGTATAGTAAATGACGCTTGATAATAAGCAAAAAGTTAATAGTTTACATTTTTTTTATTGGCTTTTAAGACTCTCATTAAGATTGAACTTGAGAGAACAAATGGCGTTTAATCTATTTACATACATAATGTTACATTAATAGATCTCAGTTTATCTGTTGACACAGTATAACAATTAAGATATTTTTAATAAAATGGTTATTAAGTTTTTAATAATAAAATAACTCATACAAAATATTTATTTGTACATTGTTTATTTATACAAATTTAAATTGCAAATAATTCAGCATATTTACTTATTCTTGACATTGATTAAGAAGAAAATGATGGTTTCGTTGAATTATTTATAAATATAATTTTCATTGCAAATAATCAAGTCTATTTATGCTTTTCTAGTATTACTAAAGCAAATGATAAATTATTAAAATAATAATTGTTTCAGGCTCTTAACGAAATGGGTGAGCAGCAACACTTACCATTGGAATTTGTTGATGGATTCATATCAGAAATATCTGTCAGCATACCCTGGTCAGCTTTATTCAGTGAAGCCAGTTATGTTGAGGTCAAAGGTCTCAAGCTCACTGTCCAACCACGACAAAGAACAGAAACACCTGTGTCTATGTTTGAATCAATGTGGAGTTCTATGACATCGAGCATGCAACTTGCTCAAGAATGTTTGCAACAGGATGCAAATAATGCAGGAAATTCACAACCTCTCGAGGGTGTTGAGCTTTTCGCACAGACCATAGATTCGATACTATGTCGTGTGAGAGTTCGATTTTTAGATACAGTAATTCGATTGGAACATGTACCACTTGATTCGGCAACAGGAGTTGCCATTGAAATGTGCATAAAAAATTTAGAATACTCCGATGAAGCTGGCTCAGATCCTAGTAATGTCAATTTAGATGCTAATCAACCAACAAAGGGTTACGTTGTTTCAGCATTCACTACAAAGCGATTTTACTTGGAAGGTGTGACTTTTCATACTGATGAGTTTCCTTCCAGAGCTCGTACCTTTTCTAGGAGTGTTATGACAACAAGTAGAGGTTCAACGCCTGATTCTAAGGTAATTCAAATGAATTATTTATCTTATTCCATGACATATGTCATCACATTGTTTCTTTAGCATTCATTATATACTTTTGTGTATTATATTTGAATATTTAAATTATTTGTAAATAGATATAACATTTTTTATTTAATATTTAACACTCGTAATATTTATATTATTTTTATAAATCATATTCAACATTACTATCAATGATATTTTGGTTTAATTATTATGTAATAAAATTCTCAATTATTTATTAAATTTTTATTTTAGAACTCTGATGGTCAATTCTCATCCGCACAAATATCTCCATCACAAAATATGCCCACACCACCAGAGAGAAATTTTATCAACACATTAAGTCAATCGAATCCAATATTATGTGCTAAACTAACAGGACGTCAAGAGATACGATTAAAACTTAAGCAAGGTGAAGGTGTTTTAGGACCAAAAGTAGAACTTGAAGTAACTTTTGGATCATTTATATCTTTCTTGAGTCCTAGGCAAGTTCATGTTTTGATAGAACTTGGACATGGTTTAGCTTCTCCTGATCTTGAAGATATCAGCAATGTCGCACCAAGAACTTGTGCAGAAAAACCGATGGGTAGTAGTGATTTTAGTAAAGTTGAAAGAGAATTAATGCATCAACTTCATTCGGTTCATAGTTTTCGGACGACTGATCTAAGACATACTCAAGGGTGGTCAACGGCTTCCATTGATGAATCTGATAATGAAGAAGAGTTTCTATCGATGAAGTTACCGGGTATGTCTGATTCAATGACTACCAATAATTTAAGCATGGATGGAAGTATTTCTGCTAGTAGTATCAGTTCAAGGAGCTCTATAAGTAACATTACAAAACCACATAAACGTAGATTAAGTGCAGATACTGATCCAACTGCAGAAACATCTCAGTTTCATGTGAGAGTATCATCGATTGCAGTTATTTTATTGCATGAAGACATTCTAACAACTGGCATTGAGAGTCGTGGTCTTACTTGTGCTAGTACAGAACAAATGAAAAGTGCAGCTGAAGAGTTCTTCGATAAACTTGGAATTTTTGCAGCTGATGGCTATGGTAATAAAAATTTTGATAAAGCTTCAAAAACTTTTCTTGAAGCTTGTCATCTAAGCCATATTAGATTACTTGCCGCACCCTTAATCATTGAAGGTAGCGAAAAAACGACCCCTCAAGCATCTGCAACTACAGGAAGTTTAACTTTAGCAAGTTTAGAAGTTGTCGAATGCTTAATAGATACTAGCAATGCTACAGAAAAACCAAAAATTGAAAATGTGGAGTTACTTTCTTTTATAAAATCTAATAATGATAGTAGTGGATTCTCTAATTTGACAGATTTTCGAATGAAATTTAAATATACAGTAAAAGCAGTTCGTCAAGCTCAAACCACAAGATTTGTTCTTCCACGCACAGAAATTGATATCCAACTGGAGCCCTGCAACAGTGAAATAGATATCACAATTATTGATCGAATATCGTCGGTGCTAAACCCTCAACCAATTTGTACCTGTAATCCAACTACAGCTGCTAGAGATACTTGGAATCAACAGACAATGTTTTATCAAGCAGTAGAGAATCCTATTTTATCAGATTTTCGTATAGATGTGAAAATTTCTTCATCAAAAATGATCTTAAAGGTTAGATTTCCTGTTCCTGATCTGAGACCATTACATGACATGAGTCGAGCACCATGGTGGATGCGATCTGTTAGGCCAGATTACATGACATTGACTCTAAATGACGCACAAATTCATACATCAATAGATAGTCGTACCCATCATATCGTGAGGCATGAAATTCAATGTCGAAAATTGCTGCTGACATACACAGAAGTTGATTCTGACATTCCAATTGAAATTGGAAGAAGTCGAGTAGATGAAAAACCTGATAGCTCTCTAGCGCAAGAAAGTGAATGCTTTGGTTGGCCCAGAATATTTCTCACAATTTATCCCCAACACTTGGGAGGTCCTTTGGAAGATAGTTCAGAAGAAGAACCTAGTTCTAGTCTAGATGAGTCGTTGGGACAACCACTACGTCATCAACCTTCACCTTTCAGCTCAAAAAGAGTTATTCATGAATCAGATACCCCTCACAGCGAGTCTCAAAGTTACAATAATAAAGAGGATCATGAGCCTAGAGAAGGAGAAGAGCTAGTGATTCCTGGAAATAGACAAGAGATGCTTGAGTTTATAGAAGAAGGTACTCGGGGATCTAGATTTCAAATTGATATCAGTTTACCTTGTCTTTCTGTTCAGATACCATCTAAGCATCTTTATGAACAGTTATATAATCGAATAAATACTGATTTATTCTTATGGGAACCTTCGGCGCCGAAACCAAGATATACAGCCACAGAGAGTCATGTGGGACTTGATTTAGCATCAACATTACTTCAAGAATCAGCTTATCCTAAGTTTAGTATGTGTAAAAGCGGAATTCAGTATGATTCAGATTCCGAGTCTGATGATGATGGTGTATTTCACTCGACAGCTGGCAAGAGTTTTCATCAAGCTAATAAAGTATCTAAAAGTGGACAAAGTAATATGTCATTGACTCTGAACATCAGTCAAGGTCTTTTAACGATGTATACGCCTGTGCGTGATGGTTTATCTAACGTCATACCTGGCCAACAAGGTGAGCTTATTCTGCGTATTGAAGATGGAACGATATTCTGCGTTAATTCTTACAAAGGTAACGTCAACTTGGGATACGTATGTACAATGGTAAAAAGTATTTCGCTGAATCATTGTGGTTTGACGACCACTCCTTCAACGACACCACCACTGCGGTCTATAAACAGCGTTATACCTCGACACTGTCAGCCCGCGATTTATCGCAGTGAGAATGGTGTTCAAGAGACCCCAGGGTCTGCGGAGAAAGACATGCTGACAGTGGCTGTAAGAATACAAGCCGCACATCAAACCCATCATATTAAAACCTTTAGAGTTGCGGTAGGAATTAGAAATGCTACATTAAGACACAGAATGTGTTCTTCTCAAACATCGTGGTTCAATCAATTCACTGATTGTCTAGATGTTATTGATCATCCTGTCGCTGGATATTCTCCACCAGGTGTTCTAACAGAATTACATCTACACCTTTGGAATTGTGCTGTAGATTACCGACCACTTTATCTGCCCTTGAGATCGATGGTTACTCTTGGAAGTTTCAGTGTATCTAGTAATATTGCTGCTAAAACTAACACATCTACTTTACGTTTTATTGCTGAAGACATTGCTCTCTTTTTATCAGAAAAGCTTGGAAATCACGTAGATCTTAAAAGAGACTATGTGGGAGTGATGGACTTGGGTTTGTTTGAATTATCATTAAGATTAAATGAGAAAATGTGTGGTGGTGCTCCTAGAGTTGATTTAAGAGCAAGCAATAATGTTTTGCACGTGAGAACTTGCGCAGACTCTGGACGTGCTTTAATGCAATTGTTGACATACTTTGCTAGCGATGGAGATTTAACTCCAAACACAGGGAGCACCGAAAGTATCGCTGTACCAAGTTCTGGAGATGAAGAAAGTTTATTGGGAGATGAATGCATTAATACATTAAGTAAAAGTCAAGAAGAACGTGTTAATAGTTTAATGGAAGAAGCAATGGAAGATACAGTCAGAGGAAGCAAAACGAGTTTGAATAAAAAATCTCCGGAAGATAAAGCTCAAGTTGAAGTATTTTTCTTCCCTGATGAACCACATCCTTCAAATCAAGTGCCAGAAATGAGTAATAATGCTTGTACGGTAACTACAAGAGCAACTGAATCTGATGATACAGATGAAGATTTTTGTATTCTCGGTGAAGAAGCTGGAGCTGGAATAATGCCACGACATGGCATTCCAGAAATTCGTTGGCTCAGTCAGGAGTATATACGGGTTGTAGATAATCATTTTTCAGTGCCATTAGGAAAGACAGATCTTTTAAAAGCTCCAAAACACTTTCCTGCTGCAATATTAAGGTACACTTTATGTGAGATGACATTAGTTTGGCATATGTACGGAGGAACAGACTTTGGAAAGCCTCAGATGTCAAATAAAAGACATGTTACCATCGATGATAATACACAACGTTTTGATAGTCTCGGAAGACGTAATAAAACAACAGTAGTTGGATTTAGCAAAATTAATCCCAACGAAGTACGATTTGGAAGTGTTCCAAACTCACCAGGTGGTAAAGCAAAAGCATCGTCCAAGGAATGGTACACATTAGGTGGTCCAGGTCGACAACATGATGTTCTTATGGAGCTTCAATTAAATAAAGTACGATTCCAACATGAAACATACCCGGAAAATACTCCAGAAGCTTCGAGACAAGTTCTACTGGTCAGTGAAATTGAGATAAGAGATCGATTAGCCTCGTCGCATATCAACAAATTTTTATATCAATATAGCAGCGAAGCACAACCCCGCCAAACACACGCGAACATGTTTGCCATGAAAGCAGTTCATGTAAGACCGGATCCAAAGCTAAATACCCAAGAATGCTGTTTGAAATTAAGTCTCTTGCCATTAAGACTTAATATTGATCAAGACAGTTTACTTTTTTTAATTGATTTTTTCACGGAATTAACTGGAAATATGAAAACGAGTCAAGATAATATTAATGGGCCTAGTACACAATCATCACCTGGTTCTAAACAGAGTACGCCTACACATCATCCTCCTGTAATGAGTGTCAATGATACAACGTCCGAAGTTTCGAGACCTGAAAGTCCCTCTAAAGCTCTTGAGAATAATAATTTGGATCAAAATTTAATGATTTTATTAGAAGATGAATTGACAATTAAAGAAAATAAAACAAAAATTAGACGAAGCAGCGGACCTTCTGACGATAGTCAGCCAATTTATTTCCGGTAAAGAAGTTTATTTTTCTTTTAGAGTATTAAGTTTATTTTCCAATATGATTTAAAATAATATTTATTCTTTTAGAAGTGTGATATTTGCGCCAGAGGTACTTGTGAGACTAGACTACCATGGAAAAAGAGTAGATCTCACACACGGTCCAATGGCAGGTTTACTCATGGGCCTGGCACAACTTAACTGTTCTGAATTAAGACTGAAACGGCTGACACATCGTCATGGACTTCTCGGCTTCGATAAACTTATGGCTTACATGTTGGCAGAATGGATACAAGATATTAAAAAGAATCAACTTCCTAGTCTTTTAGGTGGTGTTGGGCCTATGCATTCGTTAGTTCAACTTTGTAAGTATTTTTCATTATAATTTTAAATAGCTAAATATTATTGAAATTAAAATTAATTAATTTTTATCTCAGTAAATACAATTTAATAACAAAATTGTAGAGAGCAATAATTTTGCTAGATTTAATTGAATTTAAAGTGGTAGTTGCGTAAAAACTATTTCATTAATTAATTCTTTGTTCAGTCCAAGGCTTTCGCGACCTATTCTGGCTGCCAATTGAGCAGTATCAAAAAGACGGACGAATTGTACGAGGTCTCCAGCGTGGAGCGAATAGTTTTACGACTTCAACAGCAATGGCAGCTCTTGAATTAACGTCTAGATTGGTCCATGTGATTCAAAGTACTGCCGAAACGGCCTATGACATGGTTAGCCCGGGTCCTAGTGTACGACGAAAATCGAAAGGTCAAAAAGGACGTCGTAAACGATATAGTCAGCCACTAGACATTCGCGAAGGAATGGCCAATGCTTATATGCTAGTCAAAGAGGTTTGTAATTATTTTCTAGATCTACTCAATTGAAGACAATAAAATTACTGATGAGAAAGATTCATTAAATGTAATAAATGAAATTCTTTTAATACAGGGTTTAGGAGAAACAGCGAATCAGCTGGTGCGTGTGGCAAGTGAAGAACATGAACAGAAAGGTGTAAGTGGAGCAGTTGGTGGTGTCTTGAGACAAATACCACCAACAGTAGTAAAACCGATTATACTTGCTACTGAAGCAACGAATAATGTACTTGGTGGAATGAGATCTCAGTTGGTGCCAGATGCAAGACGTGAAGCCGCTCAAAAGTGGAGGCAGGATCCTCGTGATGTTAATTAATAGACTCACGTAATGACAAATGGTATATAATGATAATGATGATATAAAAATAATTAAAATACTTTGAATACTGATATTTTCGGTAATAAGTCAGTATGAATATAATTTCTATATTTTTATCAATCGCGCAAACCTATGATAACTCTTCAACAATTTTTTATTTTAACTTTAATCATTGGAATTAAATTTTCATTACATTTTTGCATGCTCAATGATAATGCAATTTAATTCCTACAATAAAATTATCATGTTCGATTGTATGAATCTACAAAAATTTATGTGTAGATAAATTAAAAAGGTAATTAAAACTATGATATAGACACATGAGAAAAATTTTAATGAAAGTAAATAATGTGTCAAAACAAGATGTTTTTAATGGTGCAGATAATGAGAGATGTTGAATGTCTTATAGAGCCACAATTACTGATTCAGTAATGATTTATGCAATATAATTAATAAAATTAGATTTAATATATTTATATAGTTTAAAGAGACAATGACGATATGTATGTGTATACTATATACAAGGTAAGACTCATCGCTCGTATGTAATTTTAATCTAACGATGTTTTTTACCAATTATATATAAATATAACTAAGATTTTTTATTAATAAAATATGAAACGTTATCACAAAAATCAGTTCGAACTTTGAACTCGATTTATCTCAATATTATAAAAATTATTACAAAATAAATACGTAATAGATTTATATTTGTAATAGTTAAGTCAATATTAAAATTATTATTAATAAATATAAATATATTAATTATTATATTTTTAATTTTAAATTTAAAAATGTTTTCATATGTCGATAATGATGATTTTAGTTGAATTTGTTATCATCACAAGACATTACCGACGTAGACTTTATTTGTTGGTATTACTTTCAGCCACCAGGTGGTACTACTTGTTGGAGTGACGCCATGGCGACCGAGGCTTGTTTATACGTCTGTAGAATCGGATTAAATACAATTTACCACCCCAAATCGAAGTAAATGTAAAGCTATCATTGACAAGGGAGTGACTGAGCATCAATACTCTGTAATTGAATCAAAGCCACGTGGGATGTGGACAAAAAACTCGTGAACAATGGAACTCATTGACGAACAACTTGTAGGGAACGAGGGGAGTTTCGTATACGATCGATTCGCATCGAACGAACACCAGGAGCAGGTGTTTGATGATGCTCAAAAAACAGACAAAACCTGCAAGCATTTAAATGTCACTAAAGAGCAATTAAAGCAAATAAAAAAGGATTTAGGCTTAATTCGATTGTCTTGGCCAAATGTTCAGCTGGATGATCTTTTTTTGGTACAATTGCCAGAGAGTTACCGTACTAATACAGAGAAAGAAAAACTTTTGCTTTGGTATGCTGAAAACTTCCGGAAACAATATCATACCATTTTCCCAGATCGTAAACCTTTGGTGCTGGCTTGTAACAATGAATGCGGAGTTCAGGTAAACAAAATATCAATTTTTGCTTTTTTCATTCAAAATTATCAGCTTTTATATCTCTAAATGATTGCTTATTAATTAATGGCGTTACTGAGAATAAGTTATTTCATTCAAAATGTGAAACATGGAAAGAAGTGGAAGTTGAACAATGAGTTCGTTTTTTTTTCTTGATAAAGCAAAAATAGTGTGAATATAAGATAAAGTCGTTATTTTTGAAGAATGAAATATAAATTTCTGATTATTCTTAAAGATAAAGGCAGTGTAAGTTGAATAAGGAAAAGAGGTTTTAAAACTTAAAATTAAATTAAGATTAAAAATTAATTGATAAATGAATAAGGAAAAAAAATAAAAATACTTGGGTTAAATTTCATAACTCGATGTATTCATTCGATAAATATTATTGGACTTTTACATCATACAAAGGCATTCATCAGTATAAAATTTTTAAAGAAACAAAAAAAAAACAAATTGTCCAAATGAATGAATAAATTTAAAATACAAAAAAAAAAAATAAACATGAGTTATTAATCCAATTTGTGGATTTTTTAAAAAATAAGTCATTAAAGGAATGTACTTTGCAATGTTTTTTTCATCTCTTTTGTTTAATAATGTATTTATATAATAATTTTGCTCATAACTCACGTAAATTATTAACTTGAATTTCAGGAATCTTTATAGCACACTCGACCTTTTCTAATTTCTAAATAATAAAAATAAACATCACTATACATTTATTTTCATACATGCCTTTTAATAATTACTACAAATCGCACAAAATTGCGTATATTTTTTTTTTACTTTTATTTATTTGATTCCTTTAATAATATTTTACGTCGATTGAATTTACTTCACTCGTCGAGTGTACAGTCGTGCCTTATTTACATTCGCCATAAATTCAGGCATCCATCGCTTTGGTTTTTATTATAATTATTATTATAATTATTTAATTGCAGCTCATTATCTAACTGATGTCTTATAATTATTATCAATGAATAGTCATCAAGCTTACGATGTACTGAAATTGTTATCATTAATGTACAGTTATTATGATTCATTTGATACTTTGTTGTAATCCTGACATTTGGAAAAGATGATACAGAAAAATTTTTCTTCATGTATTCCATCGTAGACTTGATAACGTATTATCGAGCTGACTAAAAAAAAACTAGCGACAATTTTCTATCGACGTCGATACGTTTCTTCTTCATGATCATTTTAATCACTTTCTATATACTAGTATCTTTAAGCCACAGAACACGCTTACAATTGCTAAGGAATTATTTACATAATAAAGACTTAGTGCAACAATAATTTACAAGAATTCGCTGGAGAAGCGTAAGTCGACGTCGAGTGTGACATATTTTTTTTCAACACATCTTAATATAAACAACCATCAACATTCCAATAAATGTATATCTATATATAAGTTATATATATATATGTATATATATATATATTTAATTTTTTTATGCTATTAGAAATTCGTTTCAACGAGTATAAGACCAAGTACATTGCCTTATCCGGAGCTGCACACGTGGTTGGGCTGCGCTAGATTCGTCAGTGATCATCTAGTATATGAGTCGTTGAAAAGACCTCTGGCAATGGTAAGTGACTTGTCTATATGACTCTCAAAGTATGCTTTTTTTTTCTCTGTTGCATGTGTATCAATTATTGTATAAGTGAGCGTGTATATTTGTGTTGCATATCGTGTACTCTAAAGCCCAGTACCTTATACTTTAATCCAACGAGAAATCGAGATCACGATAATCAATATGATGACGCGATTCGCGACATGAATTAACTGCTATTGATATGAAGCTTTGGACCAGAAATATAATGTATAAATTGACAAATTTATTTAAGTTTAAGTTGATGATTCAACTTTTTTCATTAAACGAATGAGAATAAGATTTTGTCGAAAATTAATTCGCCATTTGAAAATAAAATATTAAATATTAATGTGATAATAATAATTATTAATATTAATAATATTTTTATTATATTTGAATAATTTTATTCTTTTCTATATCAAGTTCTTATTCTCTTTTTCTCCATGACGAAACTACAGACTAATGAACATTGGAATAACAATAAATTGGCTAAAAGTATTAATAATCATACGATTATGATAATAATAATAATTAAGAATAGTAATAAATTTGGTATAATCATTTTGTATATACAAGAGACAAGTAAATTATTATGAGGTCAAAAAGGAATCAATTTAATTTTTACCACAATTTGTCATGAAATAATGAATAATATAACATCTAATTGTGGTATTAATTAAATTGACTTTCAATCAGGAATATTAATGATATTAATGTAACGTAAATAGTGTGAAAAATGAATGAATAAATCCATGTGATGGATCCATCACATGGATTTATTCATTCATTCCTTACACTATCGTCGTAATAATGATATCTACTTTCTGCTTTGTTTTAAACTCGATGACTTCTTTCTACATGACTTCAGATTGTCCAGTAGATACTTGAATTGCATTATCTGTAGCCTCGTGACTACTGGCTCGGAGCATTTGTCGAGCCACTTTAAGAACAATTCTCCATGTTCGATGGCCTCCTCGGTGCTAATGACAGGTGCATCACTCTGGTTGTCAACGACGATTGTTTCATTGACATCATTTAGACTCCGTCTGACGTTCTCGTTGTTGTTGTTATTGCACAGAACGTTGTCAAGAAGTGCCCTGGCTTTACTTGGTGATTTTCTAGCGACTAGTGGAGTCGGAGTTGGCGACATAAGTGGAAAACTGCAATGCTTGTACCCACGCCAAAACCAGGAACCGTCTTGATGATTGCTAGGAGTAAATGGTGTTGATTGTTGACCAAGTATCTGTTGTTGCTGGGTAAGCCACATCCATAATTGTTCATCGACTTTGCGGCTGTGTGTTGCTGGATCCTTGTGCTTATTCTTTGACTCACGGATCATTTCATTGGTTTTTCTTGGTGATGCGGGCACAGGGGTAAGTGGTGCCTCTGCTGCTGGTGGAAGACTTTTCCTTGTGCATGATTTAGCAACTGAATCCATTTGTGTTGGTGCAATAGCAGATAAGCTATGTCTTTTAGTATTGTTCCTGGTATATTGGAGACCATTTTCAACAAGACCAACAGTGCTACTGTGTGGTACACTAGTTGATAAATTAAGTAGACTTTTAGCTAGTGTATTAGAAGCAGCTCCAAAGTGCAAACCCAACTGCTGTAATAGAAGTGAGCTATTCTCCGGTCTCATGCCAGCCATACTGGTCATCAGTCCAACGTAATCGATCTTAGACGCGTCACCGAGCCGACTGGCCTCGTTCTCCGAATTCTCGTTGGCGCAGAACGACGAGCCTGGTATAACCGTTTGATGATCGATCTTCGCTCTCTTCGCAGCTGGACCCTCGTCCTCGCTTGAGTGATTTGCCCCTCCTGCAGTCATGGCAAGATTCGTGCCTGATGATGACGCAGGCGAATGTGCTTCACTATCTGGCGTTGATGAATTCCGCGCCATACCTCGAATTTTGTGTTCAGATTTACACCAACCGCGTAACGTTGACTCTGGTACTCCAATATCGCGTGCTACTGATGCTTTGCTCTCACCCTCATGAACGCGTTGAATCGCCTCCATCTTCTCAGATGCTGATAGGGCACGTAAAGGCCGTTTGCCCGGCCGCGCTGATTCACCTCTCATGTTTGTATAAAGATGATGACTGTTGACAAACGGAGGATCTTCAATACCGTCCTCCGAAGAATCGTCACACTCTCGTCGATCTATTTTGACCGTTGTCAAGTTCCTTTTGGCAGACACTAGTCAACCTTACGTTTAAAACGATTAAGGAAAATGAAGCTGCAGTTTATTATCCAAGTGACTCGCGTGAGTCAGAAGTCATTACCAAAAGGAAAGTTAATCCTAGTAGCAAGCGTGGGGCGTCTTAACGACTAGGTCGATGATAAATAATTCCTTGTGTAGTAACGTACTTATGTTAGATGTGCGGGGGTGAAGGTAGGTACTTGCACGTTGAGGAATAGCACATGCGCCCACAGTAATAAAGAGTTTTTTATGAATGAAACAACTCCCACCACAATCGTTTGTGCGATAGAGAGAGAGAGAGAGAGAGAGGAAAGTCTCCCGTAAAACGGCACTCCCGGTTCCTCTTCCGCGTCGCGTCCCCGCAAAACAGCCAATCCAATGTACGCGCGGGAAACAATATTATTACTGCACCACGAGGTCCAACAGTGCGTTGATACCACCAATATACACTACAGAAATGACCGTTAGTTATTGTTTGCCTTGGCTTAATATGCCGGCTGGTTATTCACTAGTCTTTCAAGTTCGCTATAATGGAGCGACACAAAAAACAATCTAAAATTGTCAAGGTGAACAGCACACAACACACTCGAAAGTAATTGAAAAAAAAAAGAAAATAATAATTCTTTCTTTTCCTCTCTTAAAACAATGATAAACGTGTCTGTAATATTTTTTTTTCACATTCACTGCAGCAAATTAAGAGAGTCTAAACGTATCGTGTCTCACTACTACACACACCACCACCCGATAAGATTGTCGTTTCTTCCTATATGACCCGCGTGTTCTATTTCTCTTATATATACACACGAGTCTTTTTCTCTTTATTTCACTTAGTGTCTGTGTGCTCGTCTTGTTCAATCTTTGGCACCGGAATCACTCACTGAGCTTACGGCGTGGAATGCGTCGCGAAATTCCTCTTCACTGTGCAAGTAGTGTGTTGCCGACGGTCAACTACTAATGTAGAAGACAGGCCACTAACAAGTCAAAGAGACTCACTCACTCACTCACTTGTATATCACAGAGACAAGAGATTGGGATCGTCGCACCGTAGGCGTACTAATATTCAACTCAGGTCAATCTTCACCTCTCGGTGGTTCGACCTAGACTGACTGAATTGCTGGACGAATGCACGTTTATTATACATGAAGTCCCCTTCGGGTATATCGGCAATAGCCACTGCCACCTCTCTTCTCTTTTCGTCCCTTTTCTCCCTCCTCTCCGTTTTGCCGTCGCTGTCGTTGGCACTTGCTTTCTCCGCCCTTCGATTATCGCCGATTGGCCCGATCGATGTTGTCTCTCTCGTTCTCACACCGACACTCCTTCAATCTTGCTCTTTCTACTTTATCTGTGTCCCTTACGCTCTTCTGGTGTGCTTGTGTGTGCGCGATACGAGGGCAAAGACTGAACACACGTTCACGCCGTTCAACGATGCTCTCGCGACGAATCGCGACGCTCAACTGTGCCGGTGGACGCCGACTTTCCGCGGACTCGCGACGCCGTTGCCTCCTCTCTCTCCTCTCACTCTGTCCGTTGTCGTCGCCGACGTCCTCCCTCACCCCTCTCCCAACCACACTGGCCTTCCTCTTTGCCCGGCTCTTCCCCGCATCCCACTTTGTCCCCTTCAAGCAACACTCTCTCTCTCTCTCTCTCTCTAACCCTCGTTACCCACCGACCTCTCTCTTCCCCCCTCACAGTTGCCGTCTCTATTCCCGAACCCGCGGACTTTCCGACCCAACAGGCCGCGCCAAACCCCAACGATCGGTCGCGCCCGGTTATATTTCCTGGAACGCATAGCCTGAAAAATTTACTCGAGCCATTTTATGCGTCCGGTGATGACGATGATGATGATGATGCTTGTCTTTTACTTCTCCTTTTTCCTCCTGCTTTTTTATCATTATTATTATTATTATACTTTTATTTTGTTTTTCTCAGACACGTGCTCTTCACACAATTATCGTTATTACCCTTTCGATTGTCTTCTAATTGATTGTTTGGACTAATCTTCTACTTTTAACAGCGATAGAGACATGAAATTTCCCAATGTTCATTTTTAGAGTATGATTTTTTAACTTGAGTTTTAATTTTCTTTATATTATTTTCCATGAGCAACATGTGTGCTTTTATATATTCCTCTTTATGACTCACAAAAAGTTGGAATTTATTATTATCGAAAAACTGAACGGGAATTTTATTTAATAACCTACTTTTCATTCATTCGCGAAAACGGATATGAGATATGGCTTTAATTCAATTAAATTTTAGTCTAAGATTTATTCAGTTAGTAATGAATGAATTGTCTAAAATTAACTTATGTTTATTTTTATAAAAAACAACAAAAAAAACATATCCACTTTAAAAGAAAAGATTCTTTAAATGACTCGTTTTTATCTACTCTATCATTTAGCCTTTATTTATATTTAACTAAAAAATTTTTCGTTCATTAAGTAATTAAGTCACGCTACTAGATACTTTCTTTACATTATGTTTTCATTGAAAAATAACCATTCAAAACAAGAGAATACTTTTAAACTTTTATTCATAAACAAAAGACCCATTTTTTTTTATTAAAAATAAATTCCTTAAGGAATTCATTAATTTATTAATTTTATTATTTATTTATTATTATTAATTAATATAAGAATGTTTTAATATATCTATATTGATTGATACTTATTAATATAATTATTTATTGATTTATTAATTTATATTAAAAATTATAACAATTCAATATTTAATGCAATATATTCTGGTTAATAAAATAAATCAAAATGAAAGTGTCTAGTAATAACGAGCAACATTTAAACAAAACCAGGCAAACATGTAAATTTTTCACATGTGTATTAAGTCGAATATTACCATAAAAATAAAAATGAGTGAACATTTTTAACGGCTATTGTAAATCTGTTGCACCCACGTGCACATCGTAAACTCCCCATCTGTGTACTAGGTCTATATCGAATAGTCTATACAAGAGGCCGAGGGTGAGAGCGAATAAATGCCGCTTAAAAGTGACAAAGTTAACTTCCCCTTATGAAAGTAGAAAAAAGAAAAAAAATAAAACTCAATGTATGTATATATTTTGAAGAGTATTTAAAGTATTAACTTCACCTCAATATCTTAATCTTTTTCATTCACCGTAAAATAATAATTCGAATAGCATTATTCCAGTGAAATAAATCTCGTTAAATTACTGGAAAAATTGATAGAGAATAAATGAATGAAAATTGTAAGAGTATATATGTATATGTAGAGAGAGAGAGAGAGAGAGAAAGTGAAAGTAATGTAGTTAAAAGATGTATGTTTCTGTATATATAAAATATAATAGTGTGCAGGACGATTGAATGTATTCCTCGTGGGTATTCCAAGCGCAATGATCCATTCACTGTTTCCGTTATCTCATTCATATCTCTGCAAGCAGGACAGAGGATAAAGAGAGCTCGAGAGAGTGGAGGGAAGGAAAGAGAGACATAGAGACAAGTTGAGAGCAACTCGATATGAGAGAGGATGGGTTACTTCCGAACTCCTCTACCACATCTTTCTCCAACTTTACCCCTTTTTTTTTTCTCTCTTTTCTTCTCATCCCCTTTCTATACTTTAGCTTCCCTTCAAGCACTTTTTCTCGCTGCCTTCCAAGTTACTACTGGCGAGATTCCGAATCTTCTTCTTCTTCTTCTTCCATACTATTTTATACTTAAAGTCTCATTCTACTTCCTCTTTCTTCTTTCTATCTACTTCTTTCTCTCTGTTTTCTCTTAGTAATTCTCAAGATCAAGGTCCTCTCGTGAGTTTATAGGTTAAAGACCCAAGTGACTGAAGAAATGAAAAGTTTTGTTGAAATAAAATTACTCGAGTCTTTCAAACACTTGGTGGAACGTGGAAAAAAAAAATAATCGATGAAACTTTGGAGCTTTAGGGGACATGACAAGGACAGAGAAGTGAGAGGAGAATCGATCGACCGGTTAGGTCTTTTATACTACCACGGGGAAGAGTAAAGAGAAGCTCTCTCTCTCTCCCTTCTCTCTCTTTCTATCCCTCAACAAGCAATGTGCGACGTCCGGTGAGATTAATTTTCGCCCAGAGTTTCATCGCCGGAGAAACGATCGCTCCTGGACATTTCTCCTGTCCTTTCTAGCTTCAGTATCATGACTTACAATCGATTGCAATTTTCCTCTGTAAAATTACCGTCATTTTTCGTTCTCTTATCGATCAAAGTAAAATACTCAAAAGAATTCGTCACAATTATACTTTTTTAGTTGTCTAAAAAAATTTTGTTTCAAAATCTTTCTTTCTTTTTCACACATGATGATAATACTGCAGAGAGTAATATTATTATGTGCTTCAAGTACATACAACATCGGGGATAATACATTTGCACCTGCTTTACATCACGATAGATTTTTACGTGCAACTGCTCGGTACAGAATTCGGTTAACGTCACGTAAGCCGCTTACAAGTTACCCTATTTTCACTTCAAGTTATTTAGTATTTGTATGCCGTGTAATAATAATAATACTGCGGGGATCAATCAGTATAAATACAGAATAATGATAAGTCAATTTGTTTTATAATATCCTAGGGAATTTATGAGTATTTTTTATGACTTTACTTTCACTTAAGCATTTACATATGTGAATTATGTCTTTAAAAACTTTTTTAACATGTTGAGAGTTGCAACTTGATGTGATTAGTAATAATTTTTAGAAATTAACTACTCTAAATAGTCTAGAGTCCTTTTTTTTATTATTTTATTTTAAATTGTAATATTAAATGATATTAGTTGAAAAGTGAATTATATTTAATGGAAAAATATGTATTTTAATCTGAAAACATGCACGTGAATATTAATCTTTAAAAAGCCATCGAGGTCTGTTTATTATCACTTGAGACACGCTTTTGATAACGACTTACAATTGACGTTTACAAGGTGACTATTTATATTAAAATATATTTACTATCTAATATTTAGATTTATTTAAAATAATAATAAAAAATGATTCATTGTGAAGGATGATTAAATAAATTAAATATAATTGGTGGATACTTTAATTTTGAGTATGTATTTAGAATTTAAAAAAGGTCAGTGTTGAAGTTGGTGTATTTTATTTTGAAGAAAGGAAAGAATACATATGTCCACAGAGGTTTAATGTGAAGGTGCTTAACGTAATACATCACGTACATGTGCACATTTTTCTGAACGAAAAAGCATTGTTTTACTGCAATTAAATGTTTTATAAAAACAGAAAGTATTTTAATTCTTTAATTAGTTTATAATTATATTCACTTTATTAGCAGACAATTTTAATTTTTATCAATATGTTATTATTTTCCTTATTAAAAAGGTGATAAAAAAAAATTAATAAGGAAGTAAATAAATAATGATGATGATAAGAAATTCTATTCTTACTCACTCAATTTTTATAAGAAAAATATTTATATAAATATTTAAATAAAATCTTTAATATTTCATAAAATTATATTCCATTTCATTGGCTTTCATAGAAAACTTATTCTTTTTAATAATAAAATAATTTAATTGTTAATAAAAAAAAGTTTTAGACTATAATAATAACAATTTCGATAAGTAAACATTTAAAGATAATTTTTTATAGTTACTAATAAAATAAAATATAAAGTAGGATTTTTTGTTTTATTTTTCTTTTCTTTGAACATTTTTGTGTCCATAAAAAATCAAAGCACAAACTTTTAAATGTCCTTAAAATTTTTTTATACAGGTAGAACTCTTAAAAGAAGGTTTATAATGCAGTGCATACTTGTGTTTAGTACTGCAGGATGTGCAATATATTAAATAATCCATGTATTAGATCACATTCAATGCAAATGTGTGTATATGTGTGTGGATGTTTTATTTAAGAAAAAAAAAATTAATATACATTTAAACAAGTTTTTAATTCCGGCTGTCGCTTCCAATTTTCAACTACACTTGAATGAATATTTTTCATTCTCTTTGATGATCGAGAAAAATAGATAATCCATTAAATATAATAACAAGTATTATTTGTGTGATATAAATACAAATTAATCGAAGTAACAGTGTTATTAGTTTATTCATAAAAAATAATAAAATCCCGTTTGACAAGAGAAATCAATTGGGACAATCGTATTATATTTGAATGTATAAATAATGATTATAAGATTGTCTTTGATGTGGATAGACCACTAGAAAATATTGAGGGATTTTTTAAAAAGACCCTGAAGGGTAAAAAACAATTATGAAAATGAATGCGAATACAGTTCACCCTTATAGCTTACATATACACGTATTTGTATGTTATATTTTATATAGTGAAAAAAGGGAAAGAAGAGTTTGTGAAGCTTAAAATCGAATGCAAATCCTCAGTAACAATTTTCGGACGCAAACGATCGAATTACTCAGCAACACGTGACTAAAAGGCTGGTTAGAAATAAATGATTCTTTTGTGATGT